TTGAGGCCTGGCCAAAAGGGCTGTCCAGGCCAAAATTTCACGCCAGGCCAAAAGGCCAGGTCAAAAGACAAGGCCAGGACAAAAGGCAAGTACAAAAGGCAAGGCCAGGCCAAAAGGCAAGACCAGGCTAGGCTAGGTGAAAAGGGCAGGCCAGACCAAAAGATGAGGCCAGGACAAAAAGCCAGGCCAAAAGGCCAGGACAGGCCAAGAGGCCAGGACAGGCCAAAAGGCCAGGCCACCACAAAAGCCCAGGCCAAAAGGCAAGGCAAGGCCAAAAGACCAGGCCAGGCTGAAAGGCAAGGCCGAAAGGCCAGGCCAAAAGGCAAGGCAAGACCAGGTGCAGACAAAAGGCCAGCCCAGGCCAAAAGGCAAGGCCAAAGGCAAGGCCAGGCCAAAAGGTGAGGCCAGGCCAAAGTCCAGCCTAGGCCAGAAGGCCAGGCCAGGCCAAAAGGCAAGGCCAGGCCAAAAGGCAAGCCCAGGGCAGGCCAAAAGGTAAGGGCAGGCCAAAAGGCCAGGCCAAAAGGCAAGGCAAGGCTAGGAGAGGCTAAAAGCCCAAGTCAAAAGACAAGGTGAGGGCAAAAGGCAAGGCTAAAACACAAGACAAGGAGAAAAGGCAAGGCCAGGCTAGACCAGACTAAAAGGCAAGCCCAGGTTAAAAGGCCAAAAAGATGAGGCCAGGCCAAAAGGCCAGGCCAAAAAACCAGGAGAGGCCAAAAGTCCAGGCCAGGCCCACATGCCAGACCAGGACAGATCAGGCCAAAAGGCAAGGCAAGGCCAGGCCAAGGCAAAAGACAAGGCTAAAAGGACACTCCATGCCAAAAGGTCAGGCCATGCCAATAGGCCAGGCCAGGCCAAAAGTCCAGGTCAGGACAAAAGGAGAGTCCAGACCAGGTCAGGCCAAGAGATAATGCAAGGGCAGGCCAAGAGGCCAGGCCAGGCCAAAAGGCAAGGCCAGTCCAGACCAGGACAAAAGTTCAGGCCAGGCCGAAAGGCCAGGTCAAAAGGCAAGATCAGGCCAAAAGGCCAGGGAAAGTCAGCTAGGCCAAAAGTCCAGGCCAGGCCAAAGGCAAGGCCAGGACAAGTCAAGAGGCCAGGCCAGGCCAAAAGGTAAGGCCAGGACAAAAGTCCATGCCAGGCCAAAAGGGCAGGTCAAAGGGCAAGGCCAGGCCGAAAGGCCAGGCCAAATGGTGAGGCCAGGCCAATAGTCCAGTCCAGGCCAAAAGGCCAGGCCAGGCCAAAACGCCAGACCAAATGGTCAGGCCCAGCCAAAAGGTCAGGCCCGGCCAAAAGGCCCAGACCAAAAGGCATGACGAAGCCAGGCAAGGCCTAAAGGATAGGCCAGGGTAAAAGGCTAGGACAAAAGACCAGGCCAGACAAAAAAGCCAGGCCAAAGGCCAGGACAGGTCAAAAGGCCAGGACAAAAGCCCAGGCCAGAGTGAAAGGCTAGGACAAAAGATCAGGCCAGGCCAAAAGGTAAAGCCAGGCCGGACCAGGCCAAAAGACAAGACCAAGGCAAAAGTTCAGACCAGGTTAAAAGGCCAGGCCAAAAGGCAAGGACATGCCAAACCAGACCACAAGGCCA